AGATATGAATGAATTATCTTTTATATACACAGCGAAGAGATTTCAATACTATTATCGATTTAAACAATATTTTCTAAGTTACATTTCATACTACTTTCAGTTTAGCTATAAATCTGAATGACACAATCAATCAGGACTCAGTAGTTAAGGGAATAACACGATAGCATTTGAAGCGAACGGTACTGGGTTCGAGTGCCAGAGTGAACATCAACTCTGCAATACAGGTACATCTAGCTGACAAGTCCCAAATAGGATGAAACCCACGTCCTGAATTCCATTGCTAACCACTATCCATCTTTACTTATAAAGCTTATGATAATCAATTAATGTTACAAATATATGTAATATAAATCTTATGTAATATTACATAATATCTAAACAAAAACAAAAATGCAAAATCTTTATTCTAGTAAAATCAAATTTTGTTTACATGAGAAATAAACGTTATTTTTTTGCTAAAAATTTCATATAAACAAATACAGGACTTTAGTTGATATGTGGAAATCGGTTGCTGTTTTTTCATTAGTCACTGTTAACTCTTTTATTTTTATTTTTAGAAATTATCTGGACCTATTAATCGATGCTGGCAAAATCTTGGTCGATATTCAGAATTAGCAACTATACATCTTAAAAATGCTGCCGATTTTCATCAGGTAATTTGGTATATTTTACATATTATCAATTAATTCTGTATAATTGATCTATGATCTTCAATGAATTAGGTACTTTTTTTGTTGGTAAAATTACTTCTTATGAAATCTAAGACAAAAATTGTATGACAAATCATACTTAATTAGATTAGATATATTTATATCTTAATTCTTATTACGTAATCCGGAAAATAATTCAGATCTAATTACCTAAAATAATATATCAGTATAAGTGTTGTAGAGATTAAGAAGTTTTTTTGATTGAGATCATGAACCGATTGATGTTAGATCACCATTGAAAACCTAGGAGCACTGGACGGCTGTTTCGTGCTATCGCGTGACTCCCCAGCGGTGCGCATCCACGATCTCGCTCACGGGATTCGAACCCTGGGCATTCGGTCTCGTGCGCGAGCGCTTAACCTACTGAACCGTTGAGCTGGCATCCAATGGTGCTAATGTCTAACCTTAACCAATCCACGAAATTGCGCGACTATCTTCCATTGTACTGAGGTAGATACCTGTCACTACCCGACACAGATTAGCTCCATCCCGTGAGCGGGAACGTGGATACGCACTGTTAAAAAAAGTCCCACAATAGGACGAAACAGCCGTTCAGTGCTTCCAGGTATTCAATGGTGGTTTAACATCAATCGGTTCATGATCTTGATCAAAGAAAAAAATAAAATAATATGGTTTATAATTGAGTCCTTTATAATTGCTCGAAATAGAAATCAAATTAACATCAAATCTAGTTGTTCTACATTTATAAACTTGAAATTACGCAATATATTTTAGTGACTAAACTCCTATAGTTAACAAGATAATATCCTTACAGATAGTACTTTAGTTTGTATTGTGATGAATATTGTTTATAATATAGTTACAAAGTAAATGTCACGGGAATATAGTATAACATTTTCAGTTGTTAATTTTTTTCATATATTCAACCTGCCAGTCATGAATACATGTATTTGCGTATTATGGTCTTGATTACTACGAAATTCTCTATATATTTACGTAGAAAGGTATAAATGTTACATTGTATTTTTTAATGAAGATCCACTAAATTCATTTTATTTGAATCTTCCTATTGATGTTAAGAACTGCAGTTGATTAGTTTTATTGACATATGTGCATTCTCTACGGAACGCCTCGATATTGCCTTAAGTCACAAGCACTATAAGCAAAGATGGAAAGTGGCTAGCAGTCAAATCCAGGATGAGCGTGTCGTTCTACTTGGGACTCGTCATCTGAATGTACCTGCATCCCAGAACTGACGTTCACTCTGGGACTCGAACCCAGTAACGTTCGCCTCAAACACTATCGTGTTATCCACTTAGCTACAGAATTCTGACTACCCTCTGCTTATGCAGTTTAATGGTAACGGTCAATAATATTCATAGTAACGTATCTGGTTAGTTCAGAATGGTACAATATATACGTAAAAAATGAAAATCATTATAAAAAAGGAAGAAAAAATAAATTTTAGTATCAAACGCTATATAACAGATGGATTTTTAAGGAAAATAGTTATATAGAGTAGCGGAGATGAATTTATGTATATCGATAAACATAGTAAAAATAAGCATGTACATAACCATAGTGAATAAGATAAGTGTTGATACAACAGATTGTTGTCATTTTACTAGAATTCCACTTGATGAATAAGCATCAATTATGTAAACAATAAAATGAGGTTAGTAATATTGTCAATATGTGGTTCTGGAAATTGTTGAGGAGTCTCAATCTAGGACAAAACGGCCGTCCATGGTTTCCAGGTTTCCAGTGGTAGTTTAATGTTGATCAATTCATGATATCGATTAAAATTGTGTTTATCAAGACAAAAAGCCAATATGTCACTTGTTCTTCTAAAACACATAAACATATATTTAATGACAATTGTCTCTGTAATGTTGGGTAAAAGTGGCATTTGTAGTTTTTCGATTAATTTGAACTTCTAAAGACATACACTTTATTTCATTTTCGTACTAGTGACTTAAAAGTTGAACTTTTAAAAACTATGTTTTGTTAGAAACAGATTGACAAAGCATTTGTTCAAAAAATCAGTGTATTAACACTTTCTATATCATTGCAAATGAAATTACATATAATTATATAAATGTAGTCAGAGGGTGACCTTAAGAAAGGTATTGATTGACGTTTGATTAATTGAATGAAAATATATTTTTCAATTGACTTAAAACATTTTCTCGTATATTTCTTCTTAAACTAGAAATGTGGGGGTACAATATTGAATTTGTCATGTTCTTCAAAGACAGATAACTGAAAATCCAGTGTTGAGATATACTTTATAAACGAATCAATCGACATATAATTTCCTCATCAAGCTTAAATCCTTATGAGTTATAGGAAGTGTAATTGACTAGAGCAATTAAGAAACTTGATTAAAAAAATGCGTCTGATGTATAAGCAAACCATATAAAACTTTGCTCATGTAGACTCTCTCATTATTACTCAAGAGTATTGTTTTGGTTTTAAATAAAATTTTAAAAAAAAAAGTAATTTAACACTAAATTTTCTTAGAAATGAAAATGAAAACAATTAAACTGTACTACTTTTTGTCTTTCTAGTTCTATTATGATGCCAGACATTTAGAAACTAAACTTTATGACAGACATAAGAAGTTTCTATATAATCGTGGTCGATTTGCTGAAATGAATCATGAATATTATACAAATTCATCAAAAGAACTAAGAGATTGGTTAAGAGTAAGTGTAAATGATTTCTGAATTTGTGTAATTTTGTATACGTTATTTAATTTTTACAGTATTGCAAGTTTGATTACAATTATCTGAACTGGTATCAAATAGTGTAATCAACCTTTAATATAACAATCATGCCTACCTTGAAGATAAAGGTTTGCAATATTTTTATGATTTAAATAACATACTACTCAAATATATTTTCAGTAGGCACATGATATTACATCAATTTAAATAACTAATATTTAATGTAATATGTATGTATATTCAAAAATGTTTGTTGACAAAATGATACATCAACGTTTACAGTTCGACATTACTGTATAAACACTGATAACAATAATTAAATATGATGAATATATAAAGAGATTTGAGTATTTGATAAATGTTTCGGTGGAGACTAAAATCAAAAGATGAAAGAAAAGAAAAAGTAGAGATGGATTTATTTGACCTCATTTCTTTGTCAATTTTTAATTTATTCATTTGCTTGATATGCATGTCATAAAGCAAATAGAATGTTGTATTGTCTGATATCACCTGATATCAATTAGAGTATCTATTGTATTATAAGCACTTGGTTATCACTAGTTTAATTTTGTTTTAATTAAATTATAATGTTCAGTAATTGTTTGAAGTTCAGAAGGAATCAGTGTACTTTCAATTTATTTTCTCTTCTTTTTGAAATATTTTTACATTAGACATACAAATGAGTTAAATATGTTAATATAATTTTGCGAGGATTTTAACTAGGCTGTTATATATTTTTTTGATTTTTAAATATTTTATTTGGGTTAAATTCACTTGATGTTGCTTACTTGTATCTTCTCATTGTTGTGTATGACTGCAATTGATCAGTCTCTTGTTGGCATATGTGTATATTGTGCATATTATTTTAATTCACAAGGATTATAAACAATGAGGGATAGTGGCTAGCAGTGGAATCTAGTGTGCGCGTTCATCCCATTTGGGACTCGTCAACTAGATGTACCTGCAATCTAGAATTGACGTTCACTTCAGGACTCAAGCCAAGTATCATTAGCTTCAAACACCATCACGTTATTCACTTAGCTACTGAGTCCTGATGGCCACTTGCTTATTATTATTATTATTATTAATGGCTTTATTCAATATTATATTTTGGTACAATATAGAATTCTCAGCACAGGGTATTTCAACAAGTTACTTATGCAAACAAAAATAGTAACAAAGACAAAATAATAGTTTTAAAAAAAATATCTGAAAAACAGTACAACATTTAAAATTAAAGTCATGTTAAGAATGCAGGTTATTGGCTAGATTAACTCTAACAACCTGTTCGTCACCGAGTATATTTGCTAGATAAGGTATTATAGAACATTTGTACTTTTCCTTGCGTGCATGGATTTTAATGTAATTACGTCTCATTCTACCAGAAGATATACAAGGAGAAAGATAAGAGTGAAGGGAATGGCTAGTATCTGATAAAATGACACCTGCCAGGAGTTTGCATGATTTTAAATGTCTATCCACAACCACATTAATTATGACCTCGAAAGATTCACCACACACCTTGCTAACTGCCTTCAGCACTCTTCGCAATACAGCAAAGTCTTTTCTCAAAAGCCCGGGAAAGAATAATGGAGAACATTAAAGAATAATAGGTAGTATGCAAGAATTGACAAATTGTAAGAGTAAATGACGAGTAATTCCAAGAGCATGCAATCTCTTTATGTAATAGGTCAGACGGAAAACCTTCTTCGATAACGATAAAACGTGAGAAGACCAAGACAGATCAGAGGAAAAGGTGACACCAAGATAATTGACCTTCGACATTGAGTTTATCAAAGAGTCTCCGATGGAACAAGCACTATGGGATCTCAAAATAGTGTTTATATTCCGTTTATGTCTCATGCTAAAGTTAACAGCTTGACATTTAGACGGATTAAGTATGAGACCATTACCAACAGACCAACAATCAATACGAGACAAAAACTCATTCATTTCTATGGGATGTAAAGAGGAAGATATAGGCATACATACAGTGAGGTCATCCGCATACTTCACAAAAGTGTTTTCTGTGGAAGATGGCAGGTCATGCAGAAAAAAAGAGAATAGAAGAGGTGAAAGAACAGCTCCTTGTGGTACACCTTCATGAGACAGTAGAGACTCTGAACTCTTTCCTCCAAACACAGTGTATTGTTCCCTTCCAGAGAGGTAGGAACATAGCCAGTTGGTTATCCAGCTGTCAGTGTTGACGCTGATTAACTTGTTAAGTAAACGTTGTCTTGGTATAAAGTCAAAAGCTGAAGTATAGTCCAGAAAAGTACATCGAACATACTTTTTACCCTTTTCTAAGTTGAACACTATGTTGTGATGCAGAACTGCAACAGCATCTAAAGTGCTTCTTTTGCGCCTGTATGGAAACTGGTATGGGTCAGTATGCTCTTTTATCGCAGGCTGAAGTGGAAGAATTAATAATTTTTCCATGGTTTTGAGGAAGGGTGAAGTTATTGCAATAGGTCTAAATTTTACATTCTTATCACCAAATGCTTTCTTGGGTACAGGAATTATCTTCATCCTTCTCCACATTTTCGGTATGAGATTAGATGAGAAGGATCTGTTAAATATAGTTGTGATCGGATGACACAGAACGTCAGCACATTTTTTAAAAAGGATGTTTGGGATACCATCAGGTCCCAAACATCGAGATGAATTAAGCGACTGGAGACATCCTCGTACATCAGTTTCAGTGAAAGTAGGAACACAGCTAGTTTTTAAACCCGTGGATAGAGGGAGCATCACATCAGATGACTGACGTACAAAAGACTTATTTAAGTCACAAACATTCAGCTGGTTATCGATTCTAAACTTTCTGTCACCTGTAAGTGCTTATATATATATAAACGTTCTGATTAAATAACCAATGTATTTATCATCGAAATCTTTATGAAAATACTTGATAATTCGTTATTAAGAGAAAAAATCGTGGTAAGAGTACTCTAGGAAATTAATTATTATTATGAAAATTGTCTTTAGTTCAATAAATTAAATTCAATTCATTATTTATTGGAAAATATTATGTTTGCAGAGCCAGTTTGATCATTTAAACTATGTGGTCAATCGTTCAAAACAATTAATTGAACAATCTAAATCACTCGTGCCTATTTATCTACGAACTAATCGTATTAAATCCCCTGTAAATGGTGTAATGTTATGCGATTATGAAACACCTAAATTTAAACTAACCGCTGGTGAACGAATTGTTATAATTGACAATATGGCTGGTGGTGTAGAAAATAAACAGAAATTCCTACTAAGAACAGGAACTAATCAAGAGGAAGATATAACATCTGAAGCATCACACAATATGACATCTGATACATTGGATATTTGTGAAACAGACAGTGACAGTCATTCAAGAACTGAAGAAATAGACGATCGTTCAACTGACAGTAACTCTTATTTACGATATCCGAAACCTAGAATTACAACAATGCCTTATTGGAATTTCGGTCGTGGTCAAACCAGTGGTTCTGAAATCACAAGTAGTGATCAAACGAGTAGTACTTTTACAGAAAATGTCAGTCCGTTGGGACAATCATCGTCAAAGCTTCATTGGCATATTAGAAGTATTGATGGGAAAGTCGAAGCATTAGTACCATCTGTATGTGTATGGATTCCGTCACCCGATATGGAAGCTCAAGAGAAGGCAATAAAGTAAGCAACTATAAGTTATTATTTACTTAGCTTATTTATTAAACTGTATTTTTTCATTGCTTCATATAACTGTTCCCAAAAAATTACCCGCATAGTATATTTTAGGCAAGATATCACTAAATATTTCAAACATTTTATACTTAATTTTAAAATACTACTCAAAGCATGTAAACGCTTATGCTAACGTTACAATAAATTAACTAGTATTGTAGCGAAGGATAACACAATTGACGAAAACCAAACGTATCTCAATAAAATACAGAATTTCATAGTACAATCATATATATATATATATATATATATATATATATATATATATATATATATATATATATATATATATATACATATATAATCAATATTCAAGCCTTTAACTGTAAAACGACTATTAGTTCTCCTGACTAAAAAAAAGTTTCGTAATACCTTTGTTTCTTGCACCTTACTGTTACCATTTTTAACAGAAGTTTATTATCATTATCATGCTGTAAAAATAAGTATATATATTTGCGATTGTACAACTTTGAAGATGAATCCACCGAAAAGAGAACTCTTCACTGAACCAATCTTACTCTAATATACAATAATATTTATATATCACATATGGAATTATTGAAGTGATCAAGGCAGTTTGTGGAGTCAGTGATAACAGTAAAAAGGATTGCAGAAATAATTAATAAGTAAAAAGTACAAATTGAAAGTGTGATGACAGGTGTACTAGTTGTGATAAGAATAATAAAGGCTTGAAACAATATTTCATAATAGGATATAGTAAAACGACTTGGAAAAATGGACATTAGAATAACATTCATTAGAAATGATCTAAATTATGTAATAAGAAGTGTTCAGACAATTGGAATGTAAACTTTGAAATCTTTCAATGTCATATGTTGAAGTATTTCAAAATAGTTGACAAGAAAATTTCTACTTACTTATTATGTTTGAAGCGATTACGAGTTCACCTAGTCTGCGAACGGAACAAAAACTCTGTGATCAAAGACCAATAAGCTAACTATTCTGGTGCATCCCAGCCTCGCTAACTAAAGAGCGAAGTCCAAATTCGAAACGGAGAAATATATTCTGCAAGCAGCCAGAAGCAAGAGCAATCATAACAAGTCTAGTTGGAAATACACTCATTTATATATTGATTTGTACACCCATTTTTGTTTAGTAATCAGAAAAAACCACATATATGAAAAATACTTCTTACAAGAATCTCGTTTGTTATATAAAATAAAATGTCATAGGGGAAAAGGAAACATATACTATACTGAGTAATCATCAAATGGAATTTAACGGAATTAATGTTGAATAAAAGTCATAAGGAGTTTTTGATCTCAATCAAAAACTAAACAATCTCTACAACCCTTAAACTGATAATTACCATGTGCTCACTAGTGAGTAGCTTCGTGAGAAAATTCTCGGAGTTGTGGTGAGAAGCCGTGACCAGTGGAGCTAATCCGTGTCGGGTAGAAACAGGTGTCTACCTCAGTACAATGGAAGATGGTCGCGCATCTTGGTGGATTGGTTGAGATTAGACATTAACAGCATTGGATGCCGGCTCAGTGATTAAGTAGGCTAAGCGTTCACGTGCGAGACTGAAGGCCCTGGGTTCGAATCCAGTGAGCGGGATCGTGGATGCGCACTGCTGAGGAGTCCCACAATAGGATGAAACGGCCGTCCAGTGCTTCCAGGTTTTCAATAGTGGTTTAACATCAATCGGTTCATGATCTCAATCAAAAACATCTTAAGCTCTACAACCCCTAAACTGATAATGAGTAAATCAATTTAATTTTGATTTTTCATCCCATCATAACATTACTATTGATGGAAGATGATTGTGGTAATTTATTTCTCATTTATTTCTACTTAACTTACAAGTACATCTGATTTAACTAATTGAACTGTTAAAAGCTCTGTAGGTTACGAGTTATATATAACCAATGATGGTTGTATAATATTGTAAAGTGAATACACTTATAAAATGTGAACCATCTAAATCTAACTAAGCGACCTAGTTCTATCATGTACTATTTTGACCATCAGTTTCCACATTCAATTCTATTTTATGCCGTAAATGTTTAGTTTTGTGAAGTTTTAAAAATAAGATCAAATGATTGTTTATAGTTTATCGTCATTTTAATAGTTTTCTGTCTGATGTCAATCCATAGTGATAACTAACAAATAGTATTCAACATTTAAGATTTAAGTTTTATATTTACTACTATATCTCTGTTGCTTCAGATACAAAATCATTGACCTCAATAGTTTGCTCATATTTGAAAATATTCCCTTTGTATATATTATGTTAAAAATTTTCATGAAGGAATCACATTATTAATTTAATTTGACCCATTTGACCACATATATTTCAAATAGGCTGAGTTTATTCTGTTAAAAGGTTCTTCGTAAAGTTAGTACTAAAATATTTCCCTTGTTAACAATCGATTTCAATATAACTCCCTATAACATATATTCAGATTGGAAAAACAAAAAAAACATTTCCATATAAAACAGTATTATTATTATTATAAAAGTAATAAAACATTAAATAACCATTGTAAGTGAAGATCGATAGTGGTTAGCAGTGGAATCCAGGACGTGGGTTTCATCCTATTCTGGACACATCAGCTGGATGTACCTACATCTCAGAGTTCATGTTCACTCTGGGACTCGAACCCAGCACATTTGCTTATAAACTTCGTGAATTAAGGCAACATCGAGGCAATACGCACACTATGCACATATACCAATAACAGATTGATCAATTACAGTCTTAAACCTCAATGGGGAAAATTCAGGCAAAACAATACCAAGTGAACCATTATCAGTGTTTAATAATAATCACATTGTGTATAAGTCGAAAATGATTGATCACCAGATTTTTGGCCTATTGGATAAAAGTTTATATGATCATCATGTGACATAATATTTATTAATTAAATTTAAGGAAGTATCTGCTAATTATTTGTCTAGAAAGTCTTAAAGTGACTTTCAATAGTTCCTATTACTTCATAGAGATGATTCAAATATATTATAAGGTAAAATTGTATAGATAAGCTTAATCAGTTCAGGGATAAAACAAACTATTAATTACTTTTACAAATGTTTTCATTAATTATGAAACATTTTAGTGAATTTCTTAGGATCTCATTGTTTTGTTTTAATCAACATCATGCCGATATTTTCATCCTTCATAGACTATATAAAGTTATATTGGACAGTTGGAATTACATAATAGATGAACAATTGAAAATTTGTCTTCAATTTTTCACAATCTTATTACAACGGTTTATTGAAAGCGATGTAAGTTCTGAATACATTTTGTATATATACATATTTCTTTGATATTACATATGGCTAGTTACATTCTCTTACTTCACAAGCATTTTCAATCCAAAAACAAAAACCCATAGAATATTCCTTTTAAAGGTATTAACTATGGTAAATAAACGTGTAGATTGTTAAAACTATAGTATTTTATACTGAAAATCTGTTTTTATAAAGACTCGTCTTGTTTAATCCATTTCTAAATAGTAGTGTTTTTTATGATAGATTATTAAATTCTTTTTGTAAGCAATGGTGGACAGTGGCTAGCAGTGGAATTCAGGACGAGCGTTTCGTCCTATTTGGGAATCGTCGGCTGGATGTACCCGCCTCTCAGCTGATGAGTCCCAAATAGGACGAAACGCTCGTCCTGAATTCCACTGCGAGCCACTGTCCACCATTACTTACAAAAAGCTTGTGAATAAAGGCAATATCGAAGCATACGCACAGTATGCACGTATGCCAATAACAGACTGATCAATTGCAGTCTTAAACCTCAATGGGAAGATACAAGCCAAACAATACTAAGTAGATTATTAAATTCGTTCTCCCTAAATCATTTTTAGTCAAAATGTAATGTCATTACTTTCAATAGGAATATGTAATAACTTGATAGAAATTAGAAATTGCCAAGTTTTAACACCAGATAGTTGATCAGTTCCTCTCACTTTCCTTTGAAGATATATTCAATAAAGTATCTCTAAATTAAAAGAATATACACAACTTTGAAGCGTTGAATAACACGGTATAATCATCAGAAAGCGTTTGTTTCCTATTATGATTTTCTCCTGCTAGTACATTTAAACCTTCTCAAAGATCTTTCTTGTTTTCATAATAGTAGTCAATCACTGCATATAAAACGAATACTTATCATAATTGACTGATAGTTAGTAACTTAATCAAAAAATACGGTAAGTTAAAACATACTCCTGTTAAGATATAAAAATATTCCATATATGATGGTAGTAGTAACATGATGAAATCCGAGAATACTTTAAAATTCGACGTAGATCAAAAACATCATAAAAAGTAAGCTTGTTAAAATTTTTAAAAAATTACACACACTTATTTGCTTGCATGTAAGCGTATATGTATGTATGTGAAGTTCGGGTAGTATATATATTATACTACTGAATGCATTAACTTTATAGTGAAACCCACTAAATTGATTCCCAAATTTATAGGATAACAAAGGTTTCAAACAAACTATGTTGTGAAAGATTATCAATTTCATTACTTAAGTACTTAAATCAAGTTCATTGTATTTAAAAAACCATAGGATTTAATTATAGGTGACTAGATAATAATAATAGTAGGTAACTAAATAGATGAAATTCTATAATTTCATTCAAATTTGTTAAAATGTAATTGCAATAGTTGAGATCATGAGTCGATTGAAGCTAGACCAACATGAAAAACCTGGGAGCACTGGACAGCCATTTCGCCGCATTGAGGGACTCTTCAGCAATGTGTATCCACGACCCCGCCTTACGAGATTCGAACCCAGAACTTATTAGTCTCGCGCGCGAGCGCTTAACCACTAGACCACCACTAAAAATGTAATTGATTAAAACAGCTTATAAATTTGGAACAATGATCATCATATGTTACTCAATAATAAATATCAGTATATGTGATTAGTCAAAATTTGAGTATACAAGTAGTAACGTAATACTTTGAAGCGAATAAAAAGGTGATAAGATAGTTTATTGAGTTTGTTTTTTCCTTTACCAATGAAAGGGATAAGAATATCATAAACTTCTTTTGAATATAAATACTATGATTTGGAATAAGAAAAAACAATTATCAGGTTAAAAACTGGTGGTAATTGTTGAATATCAAATTTATTATCTTTAGATTATTTTAACCTTTGTTATAACAAAACTTGACTAAGTGTCATTTATGAGAAGAGGGTATTGTAGAGATTTTAGTAATATAATAGTTGGATTCATTAGTCAATTGAAACTAGACCACCATGGAATATCTTGAAGCACTGGACGGCCGTTTAGTTCTAGTATGAGACTCAGCACTGCGCATCCACGATCCTGCTTCGCGAGACACTTCGTTCGAATCTAGCGAAGCGGCATTGTGGATGTGCACTGTTGAGAAGATGAAACGGCTGTCCAGTGCTTCCAGGTTTTTCTTAGTGGTCTAGCTTCAATAAACTCAAGAGTCCAACTATTAGATTGTCTTTTAATTGAACAGCTTCTTTTTGATCGACTAGAAAATGATAAATGAACATTGATCATAATTAACGTTCCGTTTACAAACCTGAATTATCTGTACTATAAGATGTGACAAGGTATATTTATGTTCAGTACGAATTTTATGATAAGAAGATTCTTAAGAACACTTAATATCGTTAATGTCTTATTACTTGCCTACATATACTTTATTATAAATATTGCAAAACTACCCAAATTGCGTATGAACTTCAACTCGTTTATATGACGTCATCTAAGAGGAGATTTAAAGTGTAATATCTCTTGGATGTGAAGTTATAAAAATATATTTTTTGATAAATGAATGAATTATTTCTGTATACATTTTTACTGATCTACTGGCATTCTCATCATTTATGATATACTTTTCATAAATGAAGGTATTCACAAAGTGTACATTGTTCAATTATTTAACCATTCCTCTACAAATATGTTTTCATTGACAATAATGAGTACTGCAATGTTTAACAAGCATCTTAGTAACAATTTTATGAATTCTATTTTTCTGTTAGGAAGTTTCCAATATAGAGTTACTTAATGACTGTTTCATTGATTTCTTTTAGCAGTATGTTTTATTAGGGGTAAAATAAACATTCATTGTACATCTTATGAGCTATTATTTAAGACAATAATTAAGAATTCTAATCATGATATTAACTTACTATTTCCTGATACAACAATTTGATTGCCTAGATTATTGATACATTGGTAAACAATGAATAGACTAAATGTTTCCTAATCACACTCCCATCCTCCACATCTTATATGATATTCATATATCTTTTCCATTCCTACTAGTTAAGCTATTTCTGTATTGATTCCAAGATTCATATCAGCCATTCTTTTAAATATGCTTGATGTGAACAGAGAAATAAGAAACTATAACAAACTACGGAAGCCATTTTTCAGGAGACGTTATTTCATTCAATTCAAAGCTTGTAAAACAGTAACATTTATTTGTGTCCCTAGTTTTATTCTACAGACCATAAGCTGTCGTTTGATTTATGATTTACTGTCATAGCCTTTTCTGTCCTAAAGCTATTATCATTTAGACGTAATCTTTTGTACTCTATTTTCTACCCTAATCCCCAGTTTTGGACATAATTGTATCTTCCTAATTGTTTGTGCATTGTGGTCTTGTTGGTTACCTACTTATTTATGTATCTTTTTGCACTTATCTGAATTGGAACCGAAATGAAGTATGAATCGGAATCAGGAATAAATTGGGTAGTGTTCCAGTTGGCTCGTCTTCTCTCTCTCTCACAAGCTTGTCAACTAATCAGGTGATAGAATACTTTTCGTCTCTCTATGCAAAGCAGTAGTCTCACTTCAAACTCACAGATACTAGCCTCAAAGTTAAACTTGTCAACCATCTTGTCAAGTTCTTAACCTGGATTGCGACAAACTATCTTCTGCATATTGGAAGGGCAAATAGATCAAGGACGTAACAGTGCTAAAACTCGGTAGAGAGAAAATTCTACCTGTGATTTTTAGGTGTGCCATAGAATCATGGTGTTTGGCTCTCTAAGTTCAAATGAATCATAAATGGGCAGTGAGGTTACCTCTTTTTGTAGCTTTTATTAAACTTTTCAATATTACAAGTTACTAAAATTGCTCTCACCCTTTTCAACATTGTTATTTTATTCCATCTCGATTAATCAATAGGGTTTAACTACAGATGATGATGAAGCATTTAAACGATTTCTAAATAACTTAGTATTCTCTTTAACTGAACCACCAACAGCTGAGGCGGAAAATTTTAATAAGGAATTCTTACGACTTATTGATGCTACACGTGAACATTGGAATAAAACAAAGACATGTAAGTTTTTTCTAACGGTATGTTTTAATTCTTTAAAATAATTTGATGGTATCTACAAGGAAACAATGAGAAAGATAAATTAAATAAAATGGCATTTTGTTGTCTTCTGAAAGATCATATATTTATTAATAATTGTTACTTTTATCCTATAAAATTGACTTTAAACTTGTGGATTGCATTTTTATAGATGTATATTTTAGTAGTTTCGTTCGCTGAGCTGGATAGTTTAATCGTGGGGCCTTCGTTGTTCTTCTGAACAACATCATCAGCACAAACTTCAAGTAAAAGTGAAGTATTTGAATTCCTCCCTATGTGGTTGAAAGCTTGTTCTATCGACCTCAATTTTGACTGGTTATTGTTGTCGTTTAACCTGTCATTGTCTACATCTTTATTTTGATTGTCTCTGTCATTGATCTGACTCTTGGTCCTAGCTTTGCTTATGAGTTTTTGATTGGTTGATAAATCGGATCGATTTCGAAGTGTTTTTGATTCCTAATTGACCTGAGTCGCAAGCTTCTAAACATTCTCTAGTGTCCTCAATGTTTCTTTGATCCGAGTTTTTAACATTTTTTCTGCCGAATGCGCGTCTACATGCATTGATATAGGCGAAGATATATCATGGCATTTGACCGCTGCTTGATAATCGTCCATGTGAAAACGAGCAGGACGTCCACTTTGTCCGATATAGTGCCTCGCACAGTTGGATCACCTTATTTTATGGACGATGTTTGACTTTACTTCATTTATCACCACATTCCCCGCTTCGTATAAGACTGACGGAAGTGATTTTCCGGTTTATGTGCTTCAATTATTCTAAACAGATTCAATAATGTCTTTCCAATTTCTGATGTCTTTTATATATGAAAGGTTGATCCGTTTATCGGTTTCTGTATTTGATTTCGTTTTTGCTGATGGTCTACAATGATATTTTTTCATGAATTTGCATGGATCGCCGATTCTTTTTAAATATAGTAATGAAGCATTTATTTTATTTTTTTCGCTCTGTAAGTGTGCTGGAGTGTGTTGTTTTCCTTCATTAGTAATGTTTGTACTTAGCTAGTTTTGTCAATTCTTGGGTTGTTGCTACTGTAGTTAAAAATTTGATATGTATGGGTTGGTTTCTGATGCACTTGAGTCTCAATGTTTACTCAATATAAAAGATAAAGGTTGTCAGTGATTTTCAAAACAAACATTATCCTATTAAGGGTTCATCATTCGAATACGTTCGTAGTGTTTTACCAAAATGATCGAATCAACTAAATTCATAATATAATCAACACTGGAATCAAGTTACCAACTCTTCTTTAACTATAATCTTAACAACTGTTAGATAATTTATTTTTGTACATTAATTTCAGATTATTCTCACTGAATATTTTCATTTAGCGAATATTAATGTCTGAATACTAGAATCGCAGGGACGCTACTTAAAACGTTTTAGGTAATTTCCGTCACGGAATGAAAATCAGCTGTTTTTAGTATGTGATAAAGCCTCTGTGTTCTTCGATTTTCAATTATGCCTCAGTCGATCTTAGTCTTTGGCATAAACCACCCAAAAAATTAAGTTTTTTCTCAATAATGACTTTGAATCTTAAGTGTCAAAGTGACGTTTCTGTTATGAATACTACTACTCTACTCAATAGATAAAAAGTAGTATAAGAAAAAAAGTATGATCAATCCATTTATTTTATTCTTTATAAATTTATTTGCAGTTGGAACACGTACGTCAGATAGCATTCATCTACGTCGAACAGAAATTGCAATATTTCAAAGTCTGCTTGATTGGAATAAAGTGAGTTGTTAGATTTTACCCAAAGTAAATTTAATCGTATATTATATATTACTTACTTACTTACGCCTGTTACTCCCAATGGAGCATAGGCCACCGACCAGCATTCTCCAACCTACTCTGTCCTGGGCCTTCTTTTCTAGTTCCATCCAATTCTTGTTTATTTTTCTCATGTCTATCTCCATATCTCGGCGCAATGTGTTCTTTGGTCTTCCTCTCCTCCTCCTTTGGCCTTGAGGATTCCATGTGAGGGCTTGTCTTGTGACGCAGTTGGGTGCTTTCCTCAATGAGTGTCCTATCCACTTCCAGCGCTTCTTCCTGATTTCTTCCTCCGCTGGGATCTGGTTTGTTCTCTCCCACAGTACGTTGTTTCTAATAGTGTCCAGCCAATGGGTCTGAAGTATTTTGCGTAGACAATTGTTAATAAACACCTGTATTTTCTGGATGATGGCTTTCGTAGTTCTCCAGGTTTCTGCCCCATACAGTAGAACTGTCTTGATATTTGTATTGAAAATCCTGACCTTGGTGTTGGTTGACAGTTGCTTTGAGTTCCAGCCTTTTCCGCCGCCGTTGCTAAATCTTCCACATATTTACGTTTGTCGGTTCTGATGCTCCTCTTCACTTGTTTGTTCACTTCTGTGTATTCAGCTTGTGCATTGGCTTTTTCTGCTCTTGTTCGACTGGTATTGATTGCTGCCTTCTTGTTCCTTCTTTCTTGAATCTTATTCAGTGTATCAACAGTGATCCATTCCTTGTGATGGTGCTTCTTGTGACCCAGGACCTCATGACATGTTGAAGTGAGTGCCTCTTTGATCCCCTTCCAGTTGCTCTCCACAGTAGTTCCTTCTCCATTGAGTAGATCACGAAAGGCCTGGAACTTGTTGCTGAGGACTATCTTGAATTTGTTGAGTTTGTTAGTATCCTGAAGAAAGGCCGTATTGAACATTTGTGATATTGTCCGCCCCGTTGTCCAGTGTTTCTTGAGTTTCAATTTCATCTTGGCGACTAGCGAGTGATGATCTGATGCTATATCAGCTCTTCTCTTGGTTCTCACGTCCTCTATAGTCGTCCTGAACGTTTTGTTGATGCAAATATGGTCGATTTGGTTTTGTGTAGAGTGATCCGGTGAAGTCCATGTGGTTTTGTGTATGCGTTTGTGTGGGAATATGGTGCCGCCTATGACCAGCTTATTGAAGGCACATAGATTCGCAAATCTCTCACCATTTTCGTTCCTTTCTCCCAGTCCGTGTCGTCCCATGATGTCTTCATATCCAGTGTTGTCCGTTCCAACCTTGGCGTTGAAATCTCCCATCAGAATGGTCAGGTCCTTTGTTGGGCACTTCTCGATGATTGACCGCAGCCTATTGTAGAATTGATCTCTAGCGTCTTCATTGTAGTCGTTGGTAGGCGCATAGCATTGGATGATGTTCATTGAAATCCCCTCTTTCTTTGTTTTGAACGAGGCTTTGATGATCCTTGGTCCATGAGATTCCCATTCTATAAGCGCGTTTTGCACTTGTTTGGACAGCATCAATGCAACTCCATGTGTATGTGGTGCATTTTCTTCTTCATGGCTGGAGCATAACAGGAGCTCTCCTGTAGTTAGTCGTTGTTGTCCAACTTTCGTCCAATGTGTTTCACTGATCCCAAGTACCTCTAGGTTGTATCTTCTCATTTCCGCAGCAATTTGGAAGGCTCTCCCGGCGTCCCACATTGTACGAACATTCCATGTACCTAAATAAATGGTCGCTGTGGTTGTCAGAAGGGGTATCGGCCTCGTAACTTCCGAGGGAATTCGGCTTTCATCATGAGGCGTCATAATTCTTCTAAATGAAGACCTTCTGACTCCCAGGGCATAGTTTAAAAGGTTTGAATAATTTTTTCTGGTTAGCGTTTTTTTAGTGAGTTAGTTTTCTACAGGATGGTGACGCTAACCCCATGCCCAACCCTCCTCCTTTATCCGGGCTTGGGACCGACAGTAGCCCCCGGAGGGACTCCAGGCGGAGTTTATATTATATATACATACATATATTTATAATACCAGTTATTTCATAATGACCAATAACCACTGAGTTATTATACTTGTAATATGAAATATTAACCTAATCCATCTGATCTACAAATGAAAATCTATGTTAAGCAAAAATGGATAGTGGCTAGCAGTGGAATCAAGGAGGTGCGTACGTCCTATCGGTCTCATGCGCGAGCGCTTATAGGACGAAACGGCCGTCTAGTGCTTCCAGGTTTTCCATGGTGGTCTAGCTTCAACTGACTCATGATGTCAACCATTGAAATTAATTGATTGGTTTAATTACTAATATTGATTATATAAGGTATAATTAATTATAAAAAGAAAGGTGTGAGCAAATATCTGAATTCGATAAATGTAGTTATAAGGTGAGGTAATAGATCTCATGAATTTCTTATATGTAGTTCAGTTTATTTATGTGTATAATTGTGATTTCCATTATATATAAAACGTGAAATCTTACAACAAAGATCACATTGATAAAGAATCAATAGATAACATTAAAAGTTATTTATTAATCAATTTAATAATCAGTGTCGAATAGATATGCAAAGATACAGATTTTATATAAACTTCCTATGACCTTCACCATGAAAGATGATATTTAGAAACAAGATGATGAACTTGACAAAGTATAAGTTTGGTTTAATTGGCTGATCAGGAGCTAGAAAGCTCAATAATTGAATTACAACCATCTAGTTGATAATGATTTTATGTAGCCTATAGTGAGAAACTGATTGTAAAGTGAAGTTATTTACCCAACTTAAATTACCGTTGTTCGACCCGTTGCTTTACATGCTAGTTAAAGATTAAAAGAACTATGATCATTTACATAGCTTACTTTTAACGTTTAATTATCACCAAGACCTTTACTTTCATATAATCCTGCCAAACGCCCGGCAAATTTTATGTTCTATTAGTTACATTCAATTACTGCCATTGGTTTCTTAATCTAAAAAGAAGAAACAAATAAACTTACATAACCCTCTAGTATATATATATATATCTTCACTATACCAAACAGGAGTATAGATTCAATAATTATATCCGGATGGACAATTAATTTAGTTATATTAGGCACATACATAATTACATTTCTTTTCTACTATGGAGCCATATGACAGTATATGGTTTTCCTAGATAAGCAACAATAAAAATATTCGTTCTTACACCCCAGATTATCAGTAAACTGCCGACAAACTAAATGACAATTGCAACGCTCCGAAATCTTAATTTACTAAACCTACTAACCGTCGTGATCTTATTGGTATATTATTTCATGTTTAGCCTACTGAAATACGTTTAGTAATGAAAGTTATTCAAAGTACGTTTTGTACATAATCATGAATAGTACTTCATATTGTTTGAAATGAATAAATGATAATCTATAAGTAACCATATTTTTGGCATAATTTTTTATTTATTTAAAAAGGCTCATATGAGAACTATAAAACAATATGAACAAGAAAACATTATACCACTTGATTTATCACAAAAACTCAATGATCTTCAAGAGCAAAGTTTTCATATGATGGAAACTGTGACACTTGTCAAGTAAGCAACATCATTTGAATTCAATATTTTCTACTTATTCATTACTGAAATGAAATTCATTTTGATTTTTAAGTTGCTAAATCACAGTAAAATGATATTCATAAAACAAACAAATGACCTTTATTCAATAATCAATTAGATCACAATAATTTGATTTGAGAATAATTGGCATATATCAGTGTTGTAACGTGTGAGTGACTGCAGGTTTAGATACGCAGCGTTATATCGATCGCTTCTGTGACAGTGACCCGTGACACGTAAACTTGTAAGGATGACCTAGTGCCCTGATTGACCCTGCCTCGCTGTCTGTCCCCAGCCAGTTGAGTCAAGAACAAAAGTCACAGCCTCGGAGTTATGAATCATTATATTTCAAACATACTTTGTTTATATACTAGTCAAGCAGACCACAACGTACCATAAAATAGAAAATAACATTGTACAATATTGGCCAACAGGAAAATAACACGTTAAATAAATATCGACCAATAGAAAATGTACATTTAAGGTCCAAGGACACCATTGGACTTAACATCATAATTATTGGTCCATTTTCCCGACTACCTAACAATCAGGTTATTTAACAATATGGTTAATTATCAGAAGGGGTTTGTGGAGATTTTAGAAATTTTCACAGATTGAATCTCCACAAACCCCTTCTGATAATAGTCATCTGCTCACTAGTGACTGACTTCAAAAGATACTCCTGGAGTTCTAGTGGGAAGCCGTTACCAGTGGAATTCAACCAGGTCTGTTGTGAGATATCAGCTCACTGAAGACAATGGTATATGGTGGCGCAACTTCGTGGATTGGTTGAAGTTAGACATTAACACCGTTGGATGACGGCTCAGTGATCCAATGGTTAAGTGCTCGCGCGCGAAGCCAGTAAGTCCTGGGTTCGAATCCCGCGGGGTGTGGGATCGTGGATGCGCACTGCTAGGACCAAACGACCGTCCAGTGCTTCCAGGTTTTCAATGGCGGTCTAGCTTCAACTGACTCATGATTTCGATCTGTGAAAATATGGTTAATTGTTTTATTTTCTTATTATCCTGTTTTCTTTTTTCTTATTTTGTCAGTGATTTAGCTCAGAAGGATAAGAAAAAATTAGATAGTTTATTAAATCAATTAAGGATATGGAATAAACAAACAAAAGACAAAAATCAATTTAATATTTATTCATTGTCATCAAGTTCTGATGATGAATGGTTGTCAAGTTCAGGTTCGGAGTATATAAATTCAGAAAGTACTTATGAATCGATTGATGAAACAGAAACATCGTATATCGTTCATTCGAAACAAATTAAACAACCACATTTTACAAGTAGTTTAAAATTTCCACATAAAACGTTTATACTGCCAGCTATATTCACATATGATGAAGAAATGGTGTGTAGTTGTACTACGAGTGAAGAAATTCAAAGTATTGGTACTGGTAGTTCTTGTACAACCGACGATGAAATTGAGGATTATCAAAAATACCATTTAAAACAAGATTTTCTTACAAGATCGGAGGACGATTTCTTGAAAGAAAATAAAAATTTCGTAACTACACTTGACAAACAAATGTTGTTAACACTTGAACGGCCGATGGATACAAAAGATAAACCGATAACATACAAGAGTAGAAAATACATCGATACAAAAGACGGTGGGCGCTATTCAGTTGTCTATATCGAAGTAGCGCCAACTGAAGAAACTAATATACTTGATTCCACTGATCAAGAAAATTTGAAACCGTCAACAATTTCAAAATCTACGCAATCAGAAGATCCTTTGAAAAAAACAAAATTTACACGGAGAACATGGATAGAAAAGCAGCATGTTGAAGAAGCAAAGAGTTTGACTAAAATTGAAGAGTCAGCTAGAATAATTCATACAAGGCCTAGCAAAGTTCAAATCACAGATATAGGTATAGAAGCACGTCCAACCTTCAGAAGCATTGAATGCTGTACTAGAGATCTTATAACCACAACTTCACAATCAATAACAGAATTACGAAAACAACCACGTCAAATTACCAAACAAAGAGAGAATGTTCAAACACAAACAGAAAAGCACTCTGAAGATTTCATCTATGCAGTTAGGCAGTACGCACATGTAAAAGAGATAACAGAAGCTCAATTCAATCAGCTCATTCAACAAGAAGTAGAAAAGTTGAAATCTAAAGCCAGAGGCGACAGAGCTTGTCAAACTTATGAAATAATGAAAAGCCCTGTGGGAATATATAAAATTACATCTGATGATCATAAACCACATGAAAAAGTTTCAGAAAGTCCACGATTAAGAGGTGAATTTGGTTGTCAGTATCAGCAACAAATAAGACTTCTTGACAAACAGGAGCACTACCTTATACAAAGTACACCTAAAACAACCATGTCAGAAATGTACGACATCGAGACAAGTAATGAAGAAAATAGGGCAATGTTTGGACAGATAACCGAATCAAAATTAGTAACACAAAGTATCGCATTTGTAGATCAAAGACAAATACATAGTAGAGTTAAATCAGAGGAAAGTTCTTCGGAAAAAATAGGAATATATGTTGAAAATTTCCAACAATACGAACAAACCGACGAAGAGAAGAAGGCAATATCAAGCCTAAACGACAAAATATACAAAATGAAAATAGAAGCCAGCATACAAACAACAAAATTCCAATATGACAGCTGGACACAAACAAAAATGGACAAAACAGAAAACACAGAAAAGAGAGAGGAAAAACACAGCATCAAAACACAAGACAGCAACATATTACAAAAATACGAAACAAGAAATGAAGACAAGTCAAAAGAAAAACAAGTCAAAGTGTGTATCGTGGATACGACGAGCGAGATAGATGCTCCAGTGCCAGCAAAACAAAAAGAAATGAAGACAGAGGTACACAGAGAAATAAAGACAGTGAAACCTGATCATATGATGTCAGTGAGTACCTCCTACGCAGAACCGCCTGTCAAACAGCCACCACCACGCCAACTGACTGACACTGCCACACAGGTGACCTCCGTTACCACACACGTCACGGAATCCAGTGAGCATGTGATTGTCTCTAAACCCACCGTTCAAGTCCAAGCACCTCTCGTCACCGAGACCGCCTCATTGGAGTTACCCACACCTGAACCTGTTCGCAAAACATCACTAGTGGAAGCCACACAGTTCGTGAAACGTTCCACAGTCGACCAACAAATCGACACAGTACCAGTCTCCTCGTCCGACGTGGGTGCACAGACTGAGCCACACAAATCTCTACTCGACGGTGCTGCCCATTTGTCGTTGAAACGCACCGATGCGACGTCACAAGCCAAACCTGTCCAATTGTGCATGGTGGATTCTTGGAGTGAGATCCATGCACCAGTGAAACCAGAGACACCAGTTGTTCCGGTCCACGAACCACCGAAACGCATCCAAACATTGGAAGCCTGTGTGCAGACGGTGAAGGAAAGTGTGTGTGTTGTGGATAGTGCGACCAGTGTGTTAATGAAGTCGCCGGAAAGTGTGCTTGATTCGGCTGCAGCTTTCGTGAAGAGACCGAGTGTGAATGCTGAAGTGCAAGTGGATAGGGTGAGCACACCGGTCGTCAGTCTGACCACACACAAGTTAGAACCGAAAATGGTCGAGAGGAGTCTGTGTACCAGCTGTGGACATCGGTACGTGAATACCGAAGAGATGGCTTGTCAGACCGTTCAGCCTAAGATCGAACCAGTTCCTGTGACTGTGAAGACGTCGAATGTCGCTATGCAGACCAGTAAGTTCTCAAGTCTCTGTCAGACAACCAGTGAAGTAGTGACACATGTGACACCGGCACCCTACGTCGAGTCAACACTATCCATGGCCATGAAGGTCGAGAAGCCAGTCACTCAGGACGTTGGAATGCAGTTCGGAATGCGTGTGGCCACGCGTGTCATGAGCTCTGGCTACCAGGTGCAACAGACCAGCAGCCACACACTGACGGAAGCAGTGGGAGTAGCAGAACGAGAAGTACAGGTGACTCAAACCGAACGACCAGTTGTGACCAGTGTGGATCACAGAGAAATGAAGACAGTGAAACCTGATCATATGATGTCAGTGAGTACCTCCTACGCAGAACCGCCTGTCAAACAGCCACCACCACGCCAACTGACTGACACTGCCACACAGGCGACCTCCGTTACCACACACGTCACGGAATCCAGTGAGCATGTGATTGTCTCTAAACCCACCGTTCAAGTCCAAGCACCTCTCGTCACCGAGACCGCCTCATTGGAGTTACCCACACCTGAACCTGTTCGCAAAACATCACTAGTGGAAGCCACACAGTTCGTGAAACGTTCCACAGTCGACCAACAAATCGACACAGTACCAGTCTCCTCGTCCGACGTGGGTGCACAGACTGAGCCACACAAATCTCTACTCGACGGTGCTGCCCATTTGTCGTTGAAACGCACCGATGCGACGTCACAAGCCAAACCTGTCCAATTGTGCATGGTGGATTCTTGGAGTGAGATCCATGCACCAGTGAAACCAGAGACACCAGTTGTTCCGGTCCACGAACCACCGAAACGCATCCAAACATTGGAAGCCTGTGTGCAGACGGTGAAGGAAAGTGTGTGTGTTGTGGATAGTGCGACCAGTGTGTTAATGAAGTCGCCGGAAAGTGTGCTTGATTCGGCTGCAGCTTTCGTGAAGAGACCGAGTGTGAATGCTGAAGTGCAAGTGGATAGGGTGAGCACACCGGTCGTCAGTCTGACCACACACAAGTTAGAACCGAAAATGGTCGAGAGGAGTCTGTGTACCAGCTGTGGACATCGGTACGTGAATACCGAAGAGATGGCTTGTCAGACCGTTCAGCCTAAGATCGAACCAGTTCCTGTGACTGTGAAGACGTCGAATGTCGCTATGCAGACCAGTAAGTTCTCAAGTCTCTGTCAGACAACCAGTGAAGTAGTGACACATGTGACACCGGCACCCTACGTCGAGTCAACACTATCCATGGCCATGAAGGTCGAGAAGCCAGTCACTCAGGACGTTGGAATGCAGTTCGGAATGCGTGTGGCCACGCATGTAATGAGCTCTGGCTACCAGGTGCAACAGACCAGCAGCCACACACTGACGGAAGCAGTGGGAGTAGCAGAACGAGAAGTACAGGTGACTCAAACCGAACGACCAGTTGTGACCAGTGTGGATCACAGAGAAATGAAGACAGTGAAACCTGATCATATGATGTCAGTGAGTACCTCCTACGCAGAACCGCCTGTCAAACAGCCACCACCACGCCAACTGACTGACACTGCCACACAGGCGACCTCCGTTACCACACACGTCACGGAATCCAGTGAGCATGTGATTGTCTCTAAACCCACCGTTCAAGTCCAAGCACCTCTCGTCACCGAGACCGCCTCATTGGAGTTACCCACACCTGAACCTGTTCGCAAAACATCACTAGTGGAAGCCACACAGTTCGTGAAACGTTCCACAGTCGACCAACAAATCGACACAGTACCAGTCTCCTCGTCCGACGTGGGTGCACAGACTGAGCCACACAAATCTCTACTCGACGGTGCTGCCCATTTGTCGTTGAAACGCACCGATGCGACGTCACAAGCCAAACCTGTCCAATTGTGCATGGTGGATTCTTGGAGTGAGATCCATGCACCAGTGAAACCAGAGACACCAGTTGTTCCGGTCCACGAACCACCGAAACGCATCCAAACATTGGAAGCCTGTGTGCAGACGGTGAAGGAAAGTGTGTGTGTTGTGGATAGTGCGACCAGTGTGTTAATGAAGTCGCCGGAAAGTGTGCTTGATTCGGCTGCAGCTTTCGTGAAGAGACCGAGTGTGAATGCTGAAGTGCAAGTGGATAGGGTGAGCACACCGGTCGTCAGTCTGACCACACACAAGTTAGAACCGAAAATGGTCGAGAGGAGTCTGTGTACCAGCTGTGGACATCGGTACGTGAATACCGAAGAGATGGCTTGTCAGACCGTTCAGCCTAAGATCGAACCAGTTCCTGTGACTGTGAAGACGTCGAATGTCGCTATGCAGACCAGTAAGTTCTCAAGTCTCTGTCAGACAACCAGTGAAGTAGTGACACATGTGACACCGGCACCCTACGTCGAGTCAACACTATCCATGGCCATGAAGGTCGAGAAGCCAGTCACTCAGGACGTTGGAATGCAGTTCGGAATGCGTGTGGCCACGCGTGTCATGAGCTCTGGCTACCAGGTGCAACAGACCAGCAGCCACACACTGACGGAAGCAGTGGGAGTAGCAGAACGAGAAGTACAGGTGACTCAAACCGAACGACCAGTTGTGACCAGTGTGGATCACAGAGAAATGAAGACAGTGAAACCTGATCATATGATGTCAGTGAGTACCTCCTACGCAGAACCGCCTGTCAAACAGCCACCACCACGCCAACTGACTGACACTGCCACACAGGCGACCTCCGTTACCACACACGTCACGGAATCCAGTGAGCATGTGATTGTCTCTAAACCCACCGTTCAAGTCCAAGCACCTCTCGTCACCGAGACCGCCTCATTGGAGTTACCCACACCTGAACCTGTTCGCAAAACATCACTAGTGGAAGCCACACAGTTCGTGAAACGTTCCACAGTCGACCAACAAATCGACACAGTACCAGTCTCCTCGTCCGACGTGGGTGCACAGACTGAGCCACACAAATCTCTACTCGACGGTGCTGCCCATTTGTCGTTGAAACGCACCGATGCGACGTCACAAGCCAAACCTGTCCAATTGTGCATGGTGGATTCTTGGAGTGAGATCCATGCACCAGTGAAACCAGAGACACCAGTTGTTCCGGTCCACGAACCACCGAAACGCATCCAAACATTGGAAGCCTGTGTGCAGACGGTGAAGGAAAGTGTGTGTGTTGTGGATAGTGCGACCAGTGTGTTAATGAAGTCGCCGGAAAGTGTGCTTGATTCGGCTGCAGCTTTCGTGAAGAGACCGAGTGTGAATGCTGAAGTGCAAGTGGATAGGGTGAGCACACCGGTCGTCAGTCTGACCACACACAAGTTAGAACCGAAAATGGTCGAGAGGAGTCTGTGTACCAGCTGTGGACATCGGTACGTGAATACCGAAGAGATGGCTTGTCAGACCGTTCAGCCTAAGATCGAACCAGTTCCTGTGACTGTGAAGACGTCGAATGTCGCTATGCAGACCAGTAAGTTCTCAAGTCTCTGTCAGACAACCAGTGAAGTAGTGACACATGTGACACCGGCACCCTACGTCGAGTCAACACTATCCATGGCCATGAAGGTCGAGAAGCCAGTCACTCAGGACGTTGGAATGCAGTTCGGAATGCGTGTGGCCACGCGTGTCATGAGCTCTGGCTACCAGGTGCAACAGACCAGCAGCCACACACTGACGGAAGCAGTGGGAGTAGCAGAACGAGAAGTACAGGTGACTCAAACCGAACGACCAGTTGTGACCAGTGTGGATCACAGAGAAATGAAGACAGTGAAACCTGATCATATGATGTCAGTGAGTACCTCCTACGCAGAACCGCCTGTCAAACAGCCACCACCACGCCAACTGACTGACACTGCCACACAGGCGACCTCCGTTACCACACACGTCACGGAATCCAGTGAGCATGTGATTGTCTCTAAACCCACCGTTCAAGTCCAAGCACCTCTCGTCACCGAGACCGCCTCATTGGAGTTACCCACACCTGAACCTGTTCGCAAAACATCACTAGTGGAAGCCACACAGTTCGTGAAACGTTCCACAGTCGACCAACAAATCGACACAGTACCAGTCTCCTCGTCCGACGTGGGTGCACAGACTGAGCCACACAAATCTCTACTCGACGGTGCTGCCCATTTGTCGTTGAAACGCACCGATGCGACGTCACAAGCCAAACCTGTCCAATTGTGCATGGTGGATTCTTGGAGTGAGATCCATGCACCAGTGAAACCAGAGACACCAGTTGTTCCGGTCCACGAACCACCGAAACGCATCCAAACATTGGAAGCCTGTGTGCAGACGGTGAAGGAAAGTGTGTGTGTTGTGGATAGTGCGACCAGTGTGTTAATGAAGTCGCCGGAAAGTGTGCTTGATTCGGCTGCAGCTTTCGTGAAGAGACCGAGTGTGAATGCTGAAGTGCAAGTGGATAGGGTGAGCACACCGGTCGTCAGTCTGACCACACACAAGTTAGAACCGAAAATGGTCGAGAGGAGTCTGTGTACCAGCTGTGGACATCGGTACGTGAATACCGAAGAGATGGCTTGTCAGACCGTTCAGCCTAAGATCGAACCAGTTCCTGTGACTGTGAAGACGTCGAATGTCGCTATGCAGACCAGTAAGTTCTCAAGTCTCTGTCAGACAACCAGTGAAGTAGTGACACATGTGACACCGGCACCCTACGTCGAGTCAACACTATCCATGGCCATGAAGGTCGAGAAGCCAGTCACTCAGGACGTTGGAATGCAGTTCGGAATGCGTGTGGCCACGCGTGTCATGAGCTCTGGCTACCAGGTGCAACAGACCAGCAGCCACACACTGACGGAAGCAGTGGGAGTAGCAGAACGAGAAGTACAGGTGACTCAAACCGAACGACCAGTTGTGACCAGTGTGGATCACAGAGAAATGAAGACAGTGAAACCTGATCATATGATGTCAGTGAGTACCTCCTACGCAGAACCGCCTGTCAAACAGCCACCACCACGCCAACTGACTGACACTGCCACACAGGTGACCTCCGTTACCACACACGTCACGGAATCCAGTGAGCATGTGATTGTCTCTAAACCCACCGTTCAAGTCCAAGCACCTCTCGTCACCGAGACCGCCTCATTGGAGTTACCCACACCTGAACCTGTTCGCAAAACATCACTAGTGGAAGCCACACAGTTCGTGAAACGTTCCACAGTCGACCAACAAATCGACACAGTACCAGTCTCCTCGTCCGACGTGGGTGCACAGACTGAGCCACACAAATCTCTACTCGACGGTGCTGCCCATTTGTCGTTGAAACGCACCGATGCGACGTCACAAGCCAAACCTGTCCAATTGTGCATGGTGGATTCTTGGAGTGAGATCCATGCACCAGTGAAACCAGAGACACCAGTTGTTCCGGTCCACGAACCACTGAAACGCATCCAAACATTGGAAGCCTGTGTGCAGACGGTGAAGGAAAGTGTGTGTGTTGTGGATAGTGCGACCAGTGTGTTAATGAAGTCGCCGGAAAGTGTGCTTGATTCGGCTGCAGCTTTCGTGAAGAGACCGAGTGTGAATGCTGAAGTGCAAGTGGATAGGGTGAGCACACCGGTCGTCAGTCTGACCACACACAAGTTAGAACCGAAAATGGTCGAGAGGAGTCTGTGTACCAGCTGTGGACATCGGTACGTGAATACCGAAGAGATGGCTTGTCAGACCGTTCAGCCTAAGATCGAACCAGTTCCTGTGACTGTGAAGACGTCGAATGTCGCTATGCAGACCAGTAAGTTCTCAAGTCTCTGTCAGACAACCAGTGAAGTAGTGACACATGTGACACCGGCACCCTACGTCGAGTCAACACTATCCATGGCCATGAAGGTCGAGAAGCCAGTCACTCAGGACGTTGGAATGCAGTTCGGAATGCGTGTGGCCACGCGTGTCATGAGCTCTGGCTACCAGGTGCAACAGACCAGCAGCCACACACTGACGGAAGCAGTGGGAGTAGCAGAACGAGAAGTACAGGTGACTCAAACCGAACGACCAGTTGTGACCAGTGTGGATCACAGAGAAATGAAGACAGTGAAACCTGATCATATGATGTCAGTGAGTACCTCCTACGCAGAACCGCCTGTCAAACAGCCACCACCACGCCAACTGACTGACACTGCCACACAGGCGACCTCCGTTACCACACACGTCACGGAATCCAGTGAGAATGTGATTGTCTCTAAACCCACCGTTCAAGTCCAAGCACCTCTCGTCACCGAGACCGCCTCATTGGAGTTACCCACACCTGAACCTGTTCGCAAAACATCACTAGTGGAAGCCACACAGTTCGTGAAACGTTCCACAGTCGACCAACAAATCGACACAGTACCAGTCTCCTCGTCCGACGTGGGTGCACAGACTGAGCCACACAAATCTCTACTCGACGGTGCTGCCCATTTGTCGTTGAAACGCACCGATGCGACGTCACAAGCCAAACCTGTCCAATTGTGCATGGTGGATTCTTGGAGTGAGATCCATGCACCAGTGAAACCAGAGACACCAGTTGTTCCGGTCCATGAACCACCGAAACGCATCCAAACATTGGAAGCCTGTGTGCAGACGGTGAAGGAAAGTGTGTGTGTTGTGGACACTTCTACTAGTGTGATGTGTAAATCGGGGAAAGTTTCACCGATTTCTGCTACAGATGTTTTTGATTCAATGCCGTCGTCTGTCTTCGATATCTCTGTTTCTGCTACACCTTCTCTCTGTGATTGTTGGTCTCAATGTAGTTTTTCATCGATTATAAAATATCCGATTGTTGATAGGTTTTCGACTTTTGATCTGCCTGAATCCTTATCATCTCCACTTGTTGATTCTTGTTGTATAATGGTCTTTGGTTGCTCCTCTGTAGGAACTTTAACTGAGCCATTAAAGCCTGTTCCCCGTGATCTGAAAAGTCCGAACTTAATTGACGCATCTGGATTCTTCCTTGTTGATCCTGATTATTTGTCTTCAGCAATTCAGGACGAAGATGTCCCTCTTGACTCTGGAGACCTTGAATGGGAGTTAGTTGACGATAATTTGAAAGAATTACACCGTTGTTTGGTGAATAGTTGTGTACAAACTGAAGAGTCAAATATTTATAGGCCTGATTCTCAAAGAGAACACTCTCCTTCCCTACCTGTTAGCCAATTGCCTACCGTCAACAGGAAAAACTTTTCAGTCCAGTATATTTATGAGCCTGCTCAAGAAAATGCTTGCTGTCAAACCCAGCCCATGACCTCTGATAAAATTCAAAAACAGATCATTATCAATAATCTAGATGCTGAAACCATGACTGACGATATAGAGTCAAATGTTGCCGTCTTACTTCAAAACGTAAGTTCTACAGACATCAGAGAACGTTTAATTGAACGTTATTACTATTCTGCACCATGCAGTGCCATGCTTGTGACTGATGCAGAAGTTCAAGTCAACCTGACTGGCTCAGCTTATAAAGGACACTCAAAAGAATTCTACGTAAAAGACATTTCTACAGACTATATTGTTGAGCATCATATAGAAAATGAAAATATAATACTAGAAGAATCGAGTGGACATGATGACAGTGAACAAACTGTGTCAGGCACATCATATTCACGATACATGAAGCGCTTGCTTCATGAAAGTGGTGTAACTGAAGTTTGGGAAAAATGTCCCCCAACGCATTCTGTCTTTGATTATTATCAAAGCCGTCGTGAGTTTGGGTCGGTACGTGAGCAGGCCTCTATGGCCATGGAAGAGCCCGTTACAGCAGCAGATGTTGGCATTCAAATTGTATTCGATTCATTTTCACATAGTTCACCGTCTGAATCCGAAATATCAAGATCTGAATCCCCGCTTAGTGGATCAAGTTACACTTATGAAGCATATTTGATGCGCTCAAGACTAGGACAAGTATGTGAAGTCCAGTGTCAATTCTGTCCTACACATATACCAACAGCGTCCCAAACGGATCATTACGGAATTTCTATGCAGACTGAAAGACATGAGAAATTAAAAGAGGATATTTTTGAAATTTATCAAAGAAGACTCATAAAAGATCAAATTGCAGAAGCATGGACTCAAGTTGAACAAGATTTGTACACAGAATCTCGAATGGAAGAAGTTAGTGAACCTATCGACGTAATCGAAGAACGTATCTTGGAAATAACGGAGAAGAAAAGTAAAAAAGTTTATAGTCAAATAAAAATTACGGAGGAATTCACAGAAGAGGAGGATTTGATTGTTTGTGAATTGGGTGTACAAACAGATCCGTTCTATGATCAGCAATACTTTATCAAAGCAAAACAAAGTCATTCTTCAATAGATTTTCGTGAAGAAAGTCCTAGACGTTTAAGTACTACGGGTATTCAGACATCAGTAATTCACCTGGCCAGTATTATCTCTTCAGGTGATATAGCATGGGCTGATGAGGATCTGTGTGAGGTAATTAAGGCAGGCATCAGATTGCTTGGATCTGATGAGCATAAAAGTGAAGATATATCTGTGTCAAAATATGCGTCTCACCAACTAAACATTTGCGCTAGATTACCAACTGATTCTAATGAAAAGGTGCTTATTAGTAGCGGCACACAAGTAATTCCTATGGAATCAGATCTCGAGAAAAAGTTCCAGAAGGAATGGCAATCAGAACCTATCTCTTTCCATGAATCTGCAGAACCCTTCCAATCTGATGATATTGTAGGAAAAGTTGGAACGCTTACAGAAGAAACCCACCACATGTGAGTTTTGAAGCCATGTTATATTACTGTATGAAATACTGTTTAGAATAGAAGTCACTCGTCTCAATGGCAAATAGTAGCAACATGGAAATACCTTCTAATGATAAAGCCTTAACACTAGCGATTAATTCGGTTTGTTGAATGGTACCGGCAGGAACTCATGAAATAAGGTTTTATGATGTCTAACTTTGCGAACTTATGTTTACTCAAACACTAAAACTTAAGTTACGCAGTGCCCCAACCAAAAATGTTACAAATAAGTCAGTTGATATATAAATAAACTCTTATAGAATTATATTAATGTTGTCCGAATTCTGTCAACTAGGTTTGTAGCACAACATAGAAACACTACAGATAATATAAATGTTACTTGTTTAAAATTAATCTTTTCAAATAGTTTTGTTACAAATTCGATCAAAGAAATGGCAGTCAGCACTTACGTTTAAGTAAAACTCATCTACTACAATAAGATTAATAATTTATAACTTGTCTGATGTATTTTTCTTTAATTTACTAGTTTGATTAACTTGATCATGTAATTTACACTCCGCCTGGAGCCCCTTTGAGGCTACTGCCGGTCCGAAGCCCATGTAAAGGCAGGAGGATTGATCATGGGGTTAGCGACTTCATCCCGTAGAAAACTAACTAGCTAAAGACACGTTAACCAGATTATTTTAAAATTGATTCTTATAAACTTGTTTCATTAGTAATAACTATTCAAAAAAAATTTTTACGTATGTTTATTTACCTAAGAAGAGTTTATCTAACAGACAACAACTTTAAAATGACATCAATTTTCACTTATATACTTAAATTATAAGGGATTTTATTAAGTTGTCTATGTTAGTTATTTCAAAAGAATTGGAAAATTCAAAGCAAACACATTAAGTTAAAACTGATAATACAGATAGCCAGTATTATTTGTTTCCAACTGTTTATTATGTAAATAATAGTCAGTCAGATGCAGAGTCTTTAAACCTTCAACAGAAATAACTACAGTGATCTTTTTTTAAAAAAACTGAGTTCAAAAGAAATATATAATCAAGCCTAATAAGTCAGTACTAATCCTAACTATAAAGTGAACCTAACTTCACTGTTATAATTGTAACCTTCCACTTTGCTATAATTATTTACATATCTTGATATTATTATCACTAGTCTCTCAGATATAAAGAATTTCATTAACATTCACCTCATATTAATAATTCTTGCTTAGTTCATATCATTTAGTATATTGCAGAATCCTTAACCAAAGAATCAACTTGATTGTAAAAATAGATTATTATTTCTTTCATTATATTCTATCTCTATTCATTCTGATCAATTTAGTGCTTCCAGGTTTTTCATGGTGGTCTTGCTTCAGTTGACTCATGATCTCAACTATTGAAATCATTAATTACTTTAATTAAAAATAATTTGTATTATCCTGTCGTTGATATTTTTGACTGAAATATGATCAGTTTTAGTTGGCATATAAGCATCCTGTGCGGATTACCTCGGTATTATTATTATGACTGGTTGATATAAAATAGATGGAATATGACTATCAATGGAATCAAAAATACGCTTTTCATTCTCTTTGGGACTTGTCAGCTAGTAAAAAATTTTCAAATAGATATATCTTTTGTGAATTATATGGAATTATGTAGAGTAATATCTAGGCTCATGACTTTTCTTGTCTATTTCGTTTTGTAGTAAACTAATCCATGTATATGTATATGACTATATGATCCCTTTATTAGTATAAAATAATATTTATCATTGATATCTGAATCTTTAAGTAAATTAAATTCATTCATCACTTATATATTCATTAATCTACTATGATTGTTGTTTTCATAATTCTGAGGTTAAATGGTTGTAGATGGTCGACAGAAAACCCTGAACCTAAGTATCTTGCTTGTTAACACCCGTCAGTAAAGCGTACTTACTATCTTTGGAGAACAGACGCTACCTGAGGAATAAGAATGTATCACAACTCAGTTTCACAGTCTGAGACGCTATCATTTCGGTACTTCGACAGCGGCTTTCCATCATTAAGAATGAAATATTTACAACTGTTTGATGAATGCGTAAGAACTAATCTCACGTTTATCCTAGTCCTTTAGTGCTGATCGAGTTCTGTATTATCAACCTTTATAGTTTCTCATGGTTACTTAGTCAATACTTATTTATTGCAAAAATTACTATAGTCATCAAGTAATTAAAACCTTATTTTTCAAAAAACGCAACAAAATGCTGTATAACTGAATAATCCAAAAGTATTTAATAGAATGATTATTAGCTAGGTTGTTAAAAAGGATTTCTTCTATTTGAAGCTAATCTTCGCCATGAACTAACATCAGTTTTGAAGCGTTGATATTATGTTTCATGGCTTTTCATTGATCGTACCTATATTTATTAAAGTTAGATAGGAATTGGCGATAGAAAATATGAGGTGTGTTTCGATCTACCTAAGACTGGTTAGCTTGATATATCTGATACTTCCCAGTATTGATGTCTACTCAGAGACTCAAATTTATTAGCTTTTGGATTTAAATATCAACATGTTATTTACCAATCTCGATCACTTGTATACCTCAAGATCAAAAACTACGAAATAAAAACGTTCACAAGTAAGATTCGTACGAAATGAATAAGCTAGCAGCTATACAGAGACAGTAGCTCAATGGAAAGTTCATTGAAGTCCTGGTATAATTGACTTTAAAAACCCTGGACGATATTTTACATTTCCATTTTTAATCATGATATGTTAATTAACAACTGGGTTTATTAATAAAGACTATCCAAACTAGTTACAACTCATATATTGATGTCAGTATAAACCAAAAACCAAAACATTTAAATGAGTATATAAAATATAAAAGTGTTGGTTCACTTGTAGTTAGTTTATTCTCAAACTTCCTGAGGTATTATGATGTTAAAATGATAATTTAAAGGACATTGATTCTAGTCTGATCATGACTCTAATTTCGCTTATAACACTCCTATAGTTATGAAAATAAGTAAATATTCAATTAGTTTATCTTCAATACGCTAATATTCTTCAAGAAATTGTTCATATTACTCACTAATGTAAGTTGGAGAATTGATGAAAACCATTGTGAACTAAAAATGAGTGTCTTGCTCTTGTTTAAGGCTTCACATCAGTGTAATGTATTAACTCTGTATTTGATAAAAGAGTTTTGTTTAAACATATTAATTTTCACATGACTTTTTATTTTATTGTACAGGTCGAAAATTTTAGTTCAACTACGTCAACGAACATTACAGTATGAATTATTTGAATCACAATATTCAACATCATGTATACAATGGAATAATATCCGTGAAGTGGCCAGTCCAAGAACAGGATTATTTGCACCAGTTGCAATGGCAATAAGAAGAGGATGGATTCGACTTGGTGAAACCAATGAATATGTGGATCCAATGACCGGAGTTGCTATTCCACTAGAAACGGCTTATCAACAAGGACGTATACGATTAACTAGTTCATCAAGTCATTATGATAGAAATGTTATAACAAATACACCTGTATTACTCTTAATTGAACGAGTATACTTTAGTTGGTGCAAAGCCTATTTAACAAGCGTTGTTAATACGGCTACAGGAGAAGTACTATCACCCAATTTAGCAATAGCAAATGGTATACTTGAAACAACGGAAGATGAAATACGCCTATTAGATAGTTTAACAAATACATGGATTACTATAGAAGAAGGTGCTGGTAGACAAATAATACAATTAGAACCATCAACTCCCACAACAGAATCTATGGAAGATGAATTAGATGAACCAGTTAGCTGTAAAGTTTATCAACTCACTCATGTTTGTCCTGGTGGTGAACCATCTCCTTGGTTAGGTCCATTAGAAGCTGTACGTTTGGGATTATTAAATTGGGAAACTGGTGAAGTTGCTGCTGATTGGCCAGCAAGACCAATGTTACGCAGTATGAATTCTACAGGGCATTTATCATCGGAAGATTTTATTCCAACTAAATGGTGTAGTTTTCTAACTGCAAAACAAGCTGGTTGGTTAAGATTTATTGAAGAAATAGAACCACAACGGTATATAACAACATCAGGTACGCCAAATAAAGAGCCAGGATCACTTCTATTATCAACACAAGTAAATCTTTTAGCTCCATCTCAAGTATCATTAAATTATGAACAAGATGATATTGAAGAAAATTATCCTCATCGACCTAATCAATATCATCATGAATTCAATATACCAAGAACTAGATCAGATGATGTTTTTACAACTAGAAATATAAGTACATCTAACTTATATCATCCAATTAATGTATTACCTGATACTAGAAGTGTATCATGTACTCGAATTGATATAACATCACCATTATATAATGATTATAAATTAATTCCATCACATGTACAAGTAAGACATGAAAATGATGAACATTCATGGACAAGTGAAACACAAATATGGGAAGAATATCAAGAGACTTCATCAAGAACCATTTCACCTGATAATGCAAGACGTCATCAATAAATGTTTATTTTTTATTTTGATAATAAATAAGTAAATCAAAGGAGAAATCTACACTCTTTTAATATGTTACAATCATGTTTTAAAAAGAAAAAGAAAAATAGACACATTCCAGTACATTTCCATCATCACCAACACTTCTATGTCCTTTTAGTGATTATGAAACCTTTTATTATTTGTTGTTGTGTTTTTTTTATGTAAAAGAAAATAAAATATTAATTGAACAATGGAATAAAATAAGACATTAGTAAAACAAATCTGTTTATACATAGAAATTTTAACTAAAGCAAACAATACTACTACTACTACTACTACTACTACTACTACTACTGCTACTACTATTATTATTATTGCTACTACTAGCTATTATTGCTGCTAATACTAGTTAAACAGAAAACATTTAAATAACTAACTCATTTATGCACATTCAAATTATGATTCTCTTCTTGTTTTTTTTGTTTGTTTGTTTGTTATTTGTTTTTGTTTTTTTGATCGTTTTTGTTTTCACACTTTCGTTTTCATTTATCTGGGTACATGTATAACTGCATATATCTATATATACACACACACACAGAAATACACATCCATAAATATAAATAAGCACAATCTACTTTCGTATAAGAAAGATTTTGTGTTACTTTTTCGTTTTTGTATTAATAGTATATAAGTATAAATGGCTATTTATTCTATACTGTTCTATTTTGTTTAATTAGTACATAGATTAATGATTCGTTCATTTACAGTGAGATTTGGATGTATGGTGTGAACGTGTAGTAGTATTTGAACCGCTACTTATTATAGTGGGAAGCAAAAGATGTATGCAGTTTGAAGAACTCTTTCATTTAATTGATCATCAATATGTAGCCAATTCATAACCACTTTGATTTTGTTAAATTAAAATACAGAAACGACAACCAATTTCTACATAATTTTTGATGGAAAAGAAATCAATTGCATATAGTTGATGGCTGATTATTGTAACTTAGTTATCGAAACCAGGACCATATACTCAACTATGAGTCATAACTTTATGTGTAAAGACTAGAGATCTTACTACCCAACTATGTAAATATGGTATCTGAACTATCCAATCTATCCTTACCTTCTATGGGCTAATAAATAAACTGTTCACATAAGTTGTACACTGATCGATAGGTTTATTTTCCTATGATTAGACCAAACGTCTGATTATTATATGATTGCTAGACTATTACAAAGGTAGGTTCTACACTTCTATCCTGACCCTTAATTATAGAGTTAGTATTCTAAAAGTCTGAAGTTTTAATTTAAATATCACCTAGGCTCTATTTTGAAAACCATCATCATATTTTTATTTTCAATGTTAGAATCTAATTGCGAATCCCCTATCAGAAAATTTAACCAATTGGTGATTATTCGACTAAAAAATCATTGACGTACCAGGATAACTATACAATTAAATGTCTTACCTAGACACACTGTCTGTCTAAAATAAGCATTAATTCAGATCAAACCCAAATCTGTATGATATTGCACGCTATTCAGCTAGTATTTTTAAAATTCAGTAATTGACTCTCGAAACCTCTTCCATGATTTACGTTTGTGTATTCATCAAAAACCTTTTGTAATAATGGTAGTTAACGTATTTCAAGGTTTCATAGACTGCTAATTAATCGAATTTTACTTCGAAAACAATCTCTACCTATTGGTTGTGCAATAAATATACTAATCTGTTAGGGAAGATTAACTAAACTTTTGCAGTTTGGTTCTTTTACTTGGATTTTTATAGATTTCCGAATTAGCCTGGTGATCCAATACTAGAGCATTCCATGTTTGATAATGGACCAGTTGGTAAGAAACTCTAAAACTGAATTGTCGGACATATTATAATTTATCAGATTGATGTACGTGCTCAAATTAACAAAACGTTATTCTGCTTGATCAACGACAATCTGCTTTGTGGTTACATTTAATTCTTAGTGATTACTGAGAATCAATGTCATACTTTAATTAAAGGGGATTTTGATGTGTTTCCACAATTATTGGCACAGATGAATGTAAACAGTATGACTATACAGAAAAAAAAGAAAATGATATACTAGGCAAGCTTAAGAGATCACATTTTTTTAGAAAGCCATATAATACGTGAGAAATTAATTAAAACCGTTCATTCTTGAACTGAAACAAGAAATAATAACACTTATGATCATAATAATGATAATAATAATAATAATAGTAATAATGAAGTTTTAAATTCATTTGTTGTTTTACTTGTATCTTCCCATTGTTATTTAGGACTGCAATTGATCAATCTCATGTTGGCATATGTACATCCTGTGCAGATTGCCTCGATATAGCCTTAAGTCACAAGCTTTTTAAACAAAAATGGATAGTGGCTAACATTGAAACCCAAGAGAACGCTACTGGGTTCGCGTCCCGGAGTGGACAACAACTCTGGGATGCAGGTACACCCAAATGACGAGTCCCAAATAGGACGAAACGCGCTTCCTGGATCCTACTGCTAGCCACTATCCATCTTTGTATAATAATAAAGTACTTTGAAAATATAAAAGGGATATGAAAAAATGGCTTCGTTATGAGGTAAAGAACCATAACGAATAAAATTCTTTTTCTTTTCTATACTGATAAATGAAAGCGTGATTTTGCAAATGTAAGGTAAATTGAAGAATGTAATATGTCAGAGTATTCTTTTTTAAACAGTTCATAATAGGGCCGAGTATAATTGAGTGATGAATGTATCGTTGGTAGTTTCTTTAAATACTACAGTTAACAAATACAATTTCTTATAGTGTGAATATGAAATATTTTTCACTATAGCTGCCTAAAATATTTAAATAGAAGATTGACATGATATAAATATTTTTCTAATTATTACATGTTCATATAAGTAGTATTACAGTATGACATTATGTGATAGTACAGATAATGAACTAAAATGTTAAAAATAGATATCATTAGAGGAGCATAATTCATGTAGATAGTAAACATGAACAAATGATTATTTTATCACCATCATTATGTGTGACTGATTTTCATTTCCCCCCTCCCTCTAAATGCAAGTTGTTGCTCCAGGACTGGGCTGCATCAACACCTGAACTAAGGATAAGGAGTGAAGTAATCGAATGCGTTGACAACTTTACTTATCTTTGAAGTCTGATCAACCCTAATAGGTTGGTATCTGAGGAAATCTCTGCAGGGATCCAGGAAGCTTATTTGGCTTTTACCAACTTATGTCACCTATGGCGAAGGCGAGATATCCGTCTATCAATTAAGGAACGAGTGTACTGTGGAACAGTTTGTTCTGTTCTACATTACGGCTAGAAAATAGCCGTAAGCTACTAGTATTCGATCACAGATATCTTGGAAATATTGCTCGCATCTGCTGGGATCACTGGGTAAGTAATAGTGAGGTTAGACTCAGGGTATTAGGGAATGATGGTAAATCAGTTAATGAGGTTGTAAATCTTTATCGACTGAGATAGTTGGGTCACGTGCTACGTATGCCTGAACACTGATTACCACGACGTGTTAGAGGGGCGGCCAAACCGAAACGTGACATCAGTCCATAAATTCACTAACTTCTAGTCCCAGCCATGTTGGTAGGTGCAGTCTACTTGGTTGGGGTCCGCTTGATTATCGTAACCAATGGTCGAAGAGTCTGACATGGCTCAGAATCGATCATAATGGAGTCGGTGTATACGCTTTGTCTGCTCTTTCTTCCCACCAACTAATTCTTTCTTCTTGTACTATATCCTTTTATGCAATCTTTCTTTTATACATTACTATCTTTGAAGTGACTACTTCTATAAATTTGGTGTTCATTATGTTCTGCTAATAAGATTTGGCAACTTGGACCGATGCATACATATGACTGGTCTTACTTTGTAGCCAACTAAACAAACTAACTTTTCTTAATCTTTTTAAACATTACGGATATGATATTGTTAATATGTTAGATTTTATGCAAATAAACACATCCAAAAGTAAACTAAATTACAATATTAACTTAACCCAATTTAGTCTACATTTATTAAAAATTCATTTAATTAACATGCTTATATTCAATGTACTGAAATCAGTAACCATTAGTCAATAATAAATGTACACATGGAGAAAAACAATCAATTCCGTTTGTTCAATAGAATTTTGATTACATGAATAAGTAAAAAAAGAAGCAAAACTTTTAATTACCCAGTGAATTTTATACAGTAAAATTGTTACTAATTACAAGCGATGTATTTCAATTATACAATATAAATATAACAACACCCTTTATTTTACATTAAAACGAAAGCATTGCTTTTAGTATTATTATTATTATTATCAATGGCTTTATTCAACATCACATTCTAAGTACAATATAGAATACTCAGCACAAAGTATTTCAACAAGTTCCCTTTTCTTATTTCTTCATCGATCCTGACGATAAGTATTAAGTAATCACTAGTTAGATGTTAAAAGTTAAGGAATCAACATCTGAGTAATGTTCATCTTTTTCTATGTATATTTTCGACCATCATAATGTCTCTGATTATAATTTTTTTGTAAGTTGTACAGCGAAAGCTCGTAGACTTTTCATAAACACCCCTGAATATATTATGCGATTAGTTTCCATAATGATGTGTTGAAACAGACAAGAAAAGAGAGAATTTGTTGAAATATTCAGATGACAGAAACAGGTAGCTCAGATATTGGAGCAAGCTAAACATGTTAAATGCAAAAAAAGATTTTCTGTTGAACTATGAATACAAATGTTTAAAACATTTTGTTTACCTTAATAACAAGATTTCATTAAACCATACAGAGCTTTTTGTTCACAAGATCTAATCATATTTCAAAATATAAATTGAGTAAGTAATTCATCAGCGTAGAAGACTGATGATAGGAAGAAATATTTTAAAATAAAATATATTATTATTTATTTCAATGTGTTCCTCGTCTGTAATTCTGTAGATATAATTACACAATAATTACACAATAGATAGATAGATAGATAGATAGATAGATAGATAGATAGATAGATAGATAGATAGATAGATAGATAGATAGATAGATAGATAGATAGATAGATAGATAGATAGATAGATAGATAGATAGATAGATAGATAGATAGATAGATAGATAGATAGATAGATAGATAGATAGATAGATAGATAGATAGATAGATAGATAGATAGATAGATAGATAGATAGATAGATAGATAGATAGATAGATAGATAGATAGATAGATAGATAGATAGATAGATAGATAGATAGATAGATAGATAGATAGATAGATAGATAGATAGATAGATAGATAGATAGATAGATAGATAGATAGATAGATAGATAGATAGATAGATAGATAGATAGATAGATAGATAGATAGATAGATAGATAGATAGATAGATAGATAGATAGATAGATAGATAGATAGATAGATAGATAGATAGATAGATAGATAGATAGATAGATAGATAGATAGATAGATAGATAGATAGATAGATAGATAGATAGATAGATAGATAGATAGATAGATAGATAGATAGATAGATAGATAGATAGATAGATAGATAGATAGATAGATAGATAGATAGATAGATAGATAGATAGATAGATAGATAGATAGATAGATAGATAGATAGATAGATAGATAGATAGATAGATAGATAGATAGATAGATAGATAGATAGATAGATAGATAGATAGATAGATAGATAGATAGATAGATAGATAGATAGATAGATAGATAGATAGATAGATAGATAGATAGATAGATAGATAGATAGATAGATAGATAGATAGATAGATAGATAGATAGATAGATAGATAGATAGATAGATAGATAGATAGATAGATAGATAGATAGATAGATAGATAGATAGATAGATAGATAGATAGATAGATAGATAGATAGATAGATAGATAGATAG